TCGCACGCCGCCCTGGACGCACCCATTGTATTAAAATGCGACGTCGGCTCGACACTCCTTCTGTTCCACAAAAAGTGCGATGAAGTGATGGCGGATAATCCCTCGAATCTGGTGTTATTCTGTGTATAATTGAACGCTGTATCTAATGCTTGTCTAGAATCGACATTTTATCGTGCACGTCCATAACAAATTGATAGAAGAATTGAAGAATGTATAGCCAGTAGTGCCCAATGCGCCTCTAAATAAAGACAAGTAGGACACATGAAATCTGCGACGAGATATCATGCTCATTCTTCGAATAATCAGTATTATTGAATAGCCCGTAAAATGTGTTCCCAGATGCGATTCTAGAACCAATGTACTATCCCCTTATTTATTGGCACCAAACAATTGGCATGCATATTTCCCGGCGGCGCCCCGCTCCCATCGCAAAATATGCAATATCCTTTTGTTGCACAAGTAGTGCGGAGAAGTGATAGCCGATTTATCCTTTTCGGTAGTGCCATGTTGTGTGCAGAATTGAGCATTTTATTGAACAGCCATCTAGAATCTATATTTCATTGTGCGCATCAATATGAAAACTTGGTGCGAACTCGAAGATTATTGTTGCCAGGCCAGCAATGCCGAATAGGTAACCTGGGAAATATCAACGAATAAGCAAATTGAAATCTGCGACGAGATGTTATTTTCATTCTTCGATTGAGTAGTAGCATTGAATAGCCCGTTAAATTTAATACCAAACATGATTCTAGATTGAATTTACTATTGCCTTGCTTGTTGGCAAAAGCAATAAATATGCACACATCGCACGCCGCCCTGGACGCACCCATTGTATTAAAATGCAACGTCGGCTCGACACTCCTTCTGTTCCACAAAAAGTGCGATGAAGTGATGGCGGATAATTTCTCGAATCTGGTGTCATTCTGTGTAGAATTGAACGCTGTATCTAATGCTTGTCTAGAATCGACATTTTATCGTGCACGCCAATAAAAATTGATAAAAGCTTGGTATGGCCAGCAGTGCTCATGGTTCTCCAAATAAAGACAAGAAGAAAAATAAAATCTGCGACGAGTTATCATTCTCATTCCTCGAATGGCCGGTATCATTAAAAAGGCCGTAAAATGTATTCCCGGACCGGACACGATTATCGAACCACCGTATTATTCCTTTGTTTATTGGCAACAAACAGTCGAGTAGCATAGGTACATCGTTCGTGGCCGGTGGCGGGGTCCCACTCCTCTCGCGAAACGATGAAACATCCTTCTATAATCTATTTCACAAATAGTGCTGTGAAGTGATAGCAGAATTATCCTTTTCAGCAGTGCCATATTGTGTAGAATTGATTGCTTTATCAAACAGCTATATAGAATCTGCACATAATTTTGCGCATCGGTATGAAAACTTGGTGCGAACCTCGAAGGTATTGGTTATTGGGCGAGCAATGCCGAATAGGTAAGACGGGAAATATTAACGAGTAGGTAAGGATATTGAAAGCTGCGATGAGATATTATTTTAATTCTTCAAATGATTAGCAGCATTGAATAGCCCGTTGAATTTAGAACCCAACATGATTCTAGATTGAATTCACCATTGCCTTGCTTGTTGGCAAAAGCAATAAATATGCACACATCGCACGCCGCCCTGGACGCACCCATTGCATTAAAATGCAACGTCGGCTCGACACTCCTTCTGTTCCACAAAAAGTGCGGTGAAGTGATGGCGGATAATCCCTAGAATTTGGTGTCATTCTGTGTAGAATTGAACGTTGTATCGAATGCTTGTCTAGAATCGACATTTTATCGTGCATGCCAATACAAATTGATAAAAGCTTATGTATGGCCAGCAGTGCTCCATGGGCCTCCAAATAAAGACAAGTAGGAAAAATAAAATCTGCGACGAGATATCATTCTCATTCCTCAAATAGCCGGTATCATTAAAAAGCCCGTAAAAAGTGTTCCCGGACAATATTCTGGAACCAACGTATTAATCCTTTGTTTATTGGTCACAATCAATTAGCATGCATCGTTCGCGGCGGCGTCCCGCTCCCATCGCAAATATATGCAATATCCTTTTGTTCCACTAATAGTGCGGTGAAGGAATTGCAGATTTATCCTTTTCAATAGTGCCATATTGCGTAGAATTGAGCACTTTATTGAAAAGCCATCTAGAATCGACATTTCATTGTACGTATCAACATGAAAACTTGATGCAAACTCGAAGGTTAATGTCAGACGAGCAATGCCGAATAGGTACATACCTAACCTGGGAAATATTAACGAGTACCTAATCAAATTGAAATCTGCGACGAGATGCTATTTTAATTCTTCGAATAATTAGTAGTATTGAATAGCCCGTTAAATTTAGTACCAAATGTCATTCTAGATTCAATTTACTATTGCCTCGCTTGTTGGCAAAAGCAATAAATCTGTACATATCGCACGCCGCCCTGCTACGCTCCCATTGCGTTAGCATGCAACGTCGCCTCGACATTCTTTCTGTTCCACAAAAAGTGCGATGAAGTGATGGCAGATAATCTCTTAAATTTAGTGTCATTCTATGTAGAATTAAACGCTGTATCGAATGCTAATCTAGAATCATATGTCATTGGTGTCCGTCTATGCAAAGTTCCACTGCAAACTTGAATTTTCGCTTCGGAGCGGTCGCCGACGGGCCGAGTGTCACGTGACCCCAATCTCAGGAGCCGGTCAAGGTCACATGACCAGAGATCGGTCAGTAGTTCTCAGATTTACCGCTAGAGTAGCGCCACTTGTATCGATGTCCGCCCTTGGACCGTAACGAAGCTTTAAAAAATCCCTTAAAATCGTAAAATTTTTAACAGTCACCCGAAGTCACCAACCGTCAATGACCTTGACCTGGCCGACAACTGACAAGTCAACTTGAAACCCATCATGATGCATGTGACAACCATCAGTTCACATGTGTTGGCACGTTTATATGTAATCACAATAGAAGTCTGGAAACGCAATTTTATGTGCGCTCACATAAACGGCAAATCATTTCGGTCTGCCATGGTCTCAGAAATCAGATCAAAGGCCAAAGGTCATTGGTTTCGGGATCATTAACTGTATAGGGAATGTGTAACCAGTAACGTAGAGGACACTCGAAAGTTTCGTCACGATCGGCCGCTTTTAGCGCGAGAAAATCACGAAAAAACAAGGGTTTTATTCGGCCCGAACCCCTCAAAGTGTGAGGGATAACCCGCACACGGATAGCGACGAATATCCATCACACCTACCCCAGTAACTATATTTTCTACATGTAAGCATATGCTGGCGATATAATGCAGCCAAAATTATCACAGTTACGTCCTTTGTCCCGGGCACCACATATACTCGTGAGCTGAATGTTCAAATTTTGTTCTTCTTTTCTTTTAAACTGAACTAGTTTGAACAATATTTTCATTGGACAAGATTGTTGACGGACCTCCTGTGAAACGAGACTCTATGAATTCTTAAACTCCCTAGTTATTTTGAAACAACCCTAGGTTCGTTGCATACTAACTAGGGAGGTTGCAACGACCCTAGTTTCGTTACAACGTCCCGGAACGAGCAGTTATTTTGTAACGTCCCTAGGGTCGTTGCAAACAAACTGATCGTTCAGGGAGGTTACAACCACCCTAGGGTCGTTGCAAACTAACTGAAATCGCATACTCCCTGTAACATAAATACCTACGTTCGACGTGGATCTATGCCGAATATTTTGTTCTTGATAAGATTCTTACTGGGCATTATGAAAACGTCATTTCAGTCAGCGCTATCAAAATCTCTTCACACTGTGTATAAAAAGATTCATCACGTGAGGCTGTCGTATCTACCTACGCTCGGGTGACGCAGCTTTCCTCGAAAGGAATTTCTCATTTAGGTACCTAAATGTGCAGGTGCCAGGCTCATTGGAAAGCTTGCCAGGACGCTGATTTAGGTAGATGATGTGATGTCGCGCCCAGTGACAGCTCAGGGACGCACCGGTGACGTCATACGTCTCGTCATCAGCATATGACTCATTTATAACATAAGGGTACGACAGGTCTAGTGAAACGGATATTCGAAATGGTGAGAAATGAAATGCGTAGAAAACAGAACCTAGGCTACTACAAACAATAAAACCAGAACTCTACTAAACGGTAGCTTGGCACCGTCTTGAGTTAAAGCATTAGATCTCAAACAAAATTTGGATCTACTATAGCTCGGTCAACTGTACCTATCCTAAGTATAAACATAAACACCTTATGGATATTGTGCGCGTATCGACGCCAATTCTTGCTCATAAGCTGCACTGAAACTACTTTGAAGCCGTATAAAACTCTGCTGCTTGCGGCAGGTTGAGCTGAACACCGAATGTGGCGTACCAAACGATCACGAATGGCACATTAGTCACGATTCACTCAGCAAACGAGCATCTCAGCAATCGTACATCCCACCGATACACTCCAGACCAAAGTTTAAAAAGAAAAGGTTTCTGTCCTCCACTGCACCCAACTGCCTGGCCTCACTATTATAGGCGGCGGAACGGGGGAAGGGAGCACCGTGCCCCCCCCCCCCCCATGATTTTGCCATTTTAACACTAGCCCTATCGGCGTTGCATGGAAAGAATGGGACCAAAAGTCGGCAGTGCCCCCTCCTCCCTCCCTTAATTGAAGGTGTTCCGCCGCTTCTGCTCACTATCTATATCCTACCTCCATCGGATTTTACGATATCCGTCCTTTGTTCATAGCCTCTGCCTCAATAGTCCATATCCATTATCTGTCCATATACAACATCTGGCATCCAGTCCAACCTTTCCTCTGTCGATTTTCCGTCTCGTCCTTCTGTCGTTACTTTCGGTCCGTCGGTATTTGGTCTCCTCTCGGCTCGCTCCCTCCGGACTGTCCCTCCGCGCCTGTCTCCCACCTGTGGTCTGCTCGGCGCTGTGTCCCACTCTCTGCACTCCCTCGTTACCTTCCCTTCGGACCGTCCCTCCGCTTCTGTCTCACCCAGACCCACCTGCGGCTTTCGGAGCTCGGCACCGAGTCCGGTCGCGTCCCTCCGTCCGTACCTCTCCTCCTCTCCTTCGCTCTGTTTCTGTTCTGTCTCACCCACCTGCGGCCTCCGGAGCTCGGGTGTTGTGTCCCACTCTGCACTATCCGCTCCGGCACCGTCAGCGGTCGGCCACTGCGCGCCCGGCTCTGTATCGGCGGCCCACTTCCTTGTTTCCGTCGGACTGGGTCGCTGGTGAGGACCGGCCCGGGCCGCCGGCGGCGCAGGGCACGCGGCCAACCCGAGACCGGCGCTCGGCTGTGGCCGCCGACAGGTAAAAATAGCCCCACAGCCACCGCCACCGGCGCCGCCACCGCCACCGACCCCGAGCCAGAGGGATCGCTGGGGTTCGACGGACGCGCGAGGCACAGATTCTCTTGGCCCTGCGGCGCTTCCAATCACCCGGCATTGCTTATGATCAGGCAATACTCTAGAACTGTGCCGTACCTACATATATCAGCAGCACAGCACTTTCAGGCACTACGTTTCCATGACCCGGCGCTTAGGTGTGTTTGAACATTTTGTTGGTTAAGAATGGGCGTGCACTGTAGTATCCAGCATTTCACTGCTGATTTGGAGAACACATGTCGCTCTGTCGAGATCTGCTCTGGGGAACTGTCGGCCGTTCCCATAAACTCAGGTCGAGCGGCAACTCTGGAGGTCTGGTTCGACCGCAGACATACCTTCGCACAGTCAGCTCCCTCCTCCTTTGACGCTACTCTGCCGTCTGCCGGCCCTTCATGGTACCTAACTGCCGGTTCCCTGGCTATTAGCCAGTCTATAGGTACGCATACCTGCACCCATAGGCGGCGGAACGGGGGGCACCGGGGCACGTGCCCCCCCCCCCCTGCTTTTGACATTTTAACATGTCATGGGGCTTTGCATGGAAAGAATGGGACCAAAAGTTGGTAGTGTCCCCCCCCCCCTTAATTGAAGGTGTTCCGCCGCTACTGCCTGCGCCTTTGGAAGTGCATTCATTTGCCTCGTGCCACGCCCGCTTCTCAACTCGTTGCCGGATGAAATGCTACGACAAAATGTATAGAAATCGCACCATTGATGATCTGGGATTGAATAGGAATCTACCCCAGTTGCATGAACACGTAGATGCGCATTACTGATTATAAATAATGTTTTAGTACCTACCTATTGCATCTATGGTAGGCGTTGATATCCAGCTCGTCGGAATAAAATAACAATCACAGACAAAAGAATTAAAGTCTATGGAAACCCGACATCCACCTTACTGCACTGTTTCTTTGACGCAATTATCTGGCTTACATCTGACATGGTCTCTACTGATCGGCTTTTGAGCACATTTGTTTTATTTTATATCATCTGGATGCTGGAATATGCTGTACCTCTGGTGCGCAGCTTCGTAACCATTGTTAAAGGAAATAGTTCACTTTCACGAAATTATTTTTTTTTGCAACGATTTATTATTTTTTATGTTCAAAATAATCAGCAAAGAAAATAAAACCTTTTTATAACAAAAGATTTTTTTTCTATATTTTGATATAGGAAGAACTTTTCAGTTTCTGTAAGGCACTCGCGATCCAGTATGAAAAGAGCATGGGTCCCGAAAATTCTTCAGAAACAGAGAAATTATCGCAGCCACCGGCATTTGGGCGATCTGCTCGATCTGATAATGTTCCCCTGAATGTCCTAATTGATCAGTACGAGAATTTCTCTAGAGTTCTCGTAGATAATTTCTCTAGTTTCTGAAGAATTTTCGGGACCCATGCTCTTTTCATACTGGATGGAAATATATGCAAGGCACACATCCTCAACGCAAGACACCTTTTTCGGGACGAGAAATAGAATATCTTTGCCTAGGGTGATCGTTGGACTGTAAAAGCTCCTGATTTATGCTCGTCTCAGCCCAAGCTACGGAACTGCTATTCCAGTTCAAAACCCATGTTAAAAAGTGAACTATTTCCTTTAACGCTCCGCCTACCTGCTAGGTGGGTTCATACCAGGAGACAGAGTCGACGCAGCGGAACTTATCTGTTTGTCGTCCATTAAAACAAACTACTCGGCTGTCGCCTTTTGAAATTGTCACTGTGTTCCCGGGGGCAAAAAGAGATCCGTGCAGAAGAGCATCTTGTGACGTGAAGTTTTTTTTTTAGAAGATGTGACGCATCTTCTCCCTCGTGTCCTTTGTGCGCCAATGGTCATGACGTACGCGCTAGTGTTGTGACGCACTTTCAGCATACACTCATCAGGAGCCGTACACACTCAGCGATATTGTCAGTCGCCGGGTGTTTGACAGAGCTGTCCCGGAGGCCGAGTAACGCTCCGAACCACACCGTCCCAGCCCTGCTGCTGGGGCAGAGCTGCGGCCGAGCGTCTCCCTTCCACGAGCCGGTCCCGTAGCTCAGTTGGTTAGAGCGTTGGACTCCGCGTGGTGAGAGCACGCGTTCCCGGTTATGACAGTCCGGGTTCGAAGCGCGACGGGCGCTCGACATTTATGGGCCTCCTAACAGGTATGGTTGCGGTTGGTGGCAGGCCGTAGCCAGGCGACGTCAGCGAGGGGACCGGCCGTGCGCGGCTTTGTGCGCACGTTAAACTTTGGACTCCAAATTCTGCCATAGAATCGGAATTGCGCGATCGGAGGGTAGAGGGCAGGGTCATCGCAACAAGCTTCGCTTAGCGGTGGCTCTGTCCTTGTGAATCCTTCCCATCAAAAAGGTTCGGACTAAAAATTAAAAAAAAAAAAAACTGGCAGTCATCGCGCCACGTCCGTCGCCTCGGAGCAGACCTCGCGGCGAAACGGTCAAGTCATTTACGGACCACGACAGAGTTAGGTCATTATCACATTATACCTATACCGCGGTGTTGGTTTGCTGGTTTATGCTCGTTTGCAAACGAGTAGAAAAGGGACGCTTCTACATATATGGGTGCATTGTCTTCACCTTCTCTAACACGCAATATTTTTCATTTTATTGTTTTCCATAATGTGCAACCTGTACCTAGTCAGATAAAAAGTGGGCTAAAAGAAGTTTTTTTTTCAATAATTGCAATTGCTATTAGCGCTTTCCAACTGCGGGCCAATGAAAGGCGCAAACGTTTCTCCAACGCTGTTTGACATAATCATTTCCTTCGATTATTGCATTTTAGGCATAGTTTTATACATTCCCCAAATGCTTCATTGTTGACCGGATAATGAGCTGCATAGCATTACTTAAAATGTATAATTTGAACAACCATCACCATTCGGCTGAACTTTGTGAATCATTATGACCTGAGTTCTAATTGGGGTTGACATCGAAACGATAATGAAGCGATAGGTAATTAATCGACATCCGTTAACTTAACATGGTCGTTTGCTAAGACTATGAAATACATTAAATTTCCTCCTTAGTTGTGGTTGTTCACGTAAAGTTCCGTCCCTAGTTGTGATCGTCCGATATCTGTCCAATATAAAGGAATGTCGACTCGGTCCGGGCTACTATATAGTGCAGCTAGTGTCGATGGCACAGGGTGTCCGCGTTGGTGTTTATTATGTTGGTTGCCAGCGACAACCGCTCACGAGAGCGTTGGAGTAGATGTACATTAGGTCTGTCAAGGAGCATTATTGTTGATATGTGCGTATTGCTGGCTTTGCCAACCGATTAAGGCCATTATCCATTATCCTGAAAATGCTCAAACGCAGCCAGTTTCTATGGTCACAGGGCACCAGTCAGCATATAAGGATGTGTGTGACCGCCGGGCGGATAGACGTTGTGTCGGCGGCACGGCAGGCACAGCGGCGGAGTTGGACACGCCGTACGAGATGCTGTACGTATGGGTGAAGGCGCTGGTCGGCCTGCTGCTGACCATCAACTTCGCGGCGCCGCTGTACGCGGTAGCCGTCAACCGGACGCTGTGGGAAGAGCCGATGGCCGTGCTGGCCGCCAACCTCTCCTTCAGCTGCATGTGTCTGGGCGTCACGTTCGTCCTTATCGGCGCGTACGACATCGCGCAGCTGCAGGTCAAGGGACTCTGCCAGTCGCTCCAGTACTGCGGCTTCGGCTTCGGCGTGGCATTCAAGTTGGCGGAGACGTGCATGGCCGTGGACCAGTTTGTGGCCGTGTTCTACCCCCTGCAGCACTACAGCCTCATGTCGCGCGCGCGCCGCTGGCTCTTCGTGGCCACCTGGCTGGCCTGGGCCGTCCAGCCGGCCTTCGGTCTGGTGGCCGTCCTGCTGGAGCTGCCGACGCCGGCCGACACCACGCTGGGGCGCGACAAGGCCAGCGTCGCCTTCCCCGAGTGCCGCTGGGAGAGCAACATCGCCGACGCGTACGCCATCTTCGTCGAGACCCAGTTCCTGGTGTTCTCGCTACTGACGGCGGCGCTGTACATGTACACCGGCGCGGTCGGCTATCGCATGAACGCGCGCATCCGCCGTCAGATGGCCCACCTCGGACACCAGAACATCGGCGGACGGGACCGCAAGTTCGTCGACAACTTCAACTCCTTCAAGAGGATCGTCTGGGTGTTTCTGACGACGATGCTGCTGGACGTGATCTCGCCGGTGGTGCGCCTGATCGGCCGCTGGCACCCGATGCCGCAGTTCAGCGGGTTCCTGCACCAGCTGCGCGCACTCTGCTTCATCTGCGAGGGCTGGCTCTACGGCCTCCTCAACGCCAAGCTGAGAGAGGCCTACAAGAAAACGCTGTGCTGCAGGCCGTGCAGGGTCACCTCCAATGCGGTGGAGGTGCTGGATCATCGCCACCATTCGGTTCAGCAGTGCCAGGGGCCGATACCGTCCGTCACGGAGCACTCGCAGCCGCCGGCCGCATCACCCAGCCATTCGATACGCCTGTGTAGCGTGGCTGATCTGCCCATACAAAGCTAAGTGATGTTAGCTGAACTCTTGTCTGAATATACCGGGTGGCCCAGAAAAAACGTTCCCAACTTTAAATCAATATTTCTCAGAAAGCGATATAGACACAACATTGAAACCTCCAATAGTCAATGCGGCATGCATTGTCAGTAAATGGTATGATTTTTATGTTATTCGGTCAATTACTTTTTAAACGGTTTGTGTTTCTAGCATGCCATGTAAAAATTACTTTTTTGCTCAGATGTTTACTAAAAGATGTGAGTGAACGGGCCACTTCCATCTCGGCACCACAGCCTTCAGCCATGACTGTTACTGGCAACTAGTCTCATTGATAGTTCAGGCCTCAGGGTGACACATTCCCTCTAGCTTTTTTCTTTATTCGGTCGATTTACTGTTTGATCTTG